ATACAGGAAATCAGGTCGATACCTTACAATCTTTCAAGGTGATTAAAAGACACTCAAGTTCTAGTCCTCTGAATTTGTTACCATCAGGCTTCAAAAACCTGATTTAAGTATTTGGAATGTGGTTATTAATCTCTTCTTGCTTTGTTGATAAATATTCCTTTGTTACATCTTAAAAAGATCTATTTCTCAACTTTTCCTTTCCTTTAATTACATCATTAGATCTTTTCAGTTTGACTGTCCTGTTGATTAGTTATCTTATTTTATTAACTGAGCTTTACTCATCCTAGTCTTATCAGTGTCTACTCATTATGTAATCACTAGTTTCTAACCCTTTGGACTTATTAAAATCAATATTGTAGAATGTCCTTTTAACATAAGGTACTGGTGTGTCATAAAAATAACTTCCAACTAAAATCTTCCATGTAATTTAAACCCATTTTGTAATTATGATTTTTAAATATTACAGATTGTAAGCAACTGACGAGAAACAAATGAAATAAAATGAATTCACGCTATTCTGTTAGAATCGTTGTTCATGCTCTCTTCAAAAGTACATTGAGATGGAGTCAGTTATTATTATAACACAATTTATAAATTTAAATGCAATGTAAAATCCTAGTATATACTAAACAAAGAAATATCTAACTTGATAGTTATATAATATCACATACATAGTTCTTATTCTATTAAGAGTATTATGAAATATTTGTCTAGGTAGATGCACTGTGGTCTCTAAGTCGAGTTACTTGAAAGATGCAATAAATCAAATCTTATAATCTAAACAGAATATATGGAACAAACACTCTTAAGAGCAGCCGGGTGATCAAGTCTAAATATACAGTTGTTCCTGAACACCAAACGTAGATTTATCGGATTTTGTAGTTCATTCTCGAGAATGAAACCTGAAGGATTTCATCTTTATTACATAATCCGACCATCTTTACATTTATACTGATGTATATTTCATACCTCAAACCTATTACACTAAATATTTAGCAACCTTTTACGGACCGACCACAGATCGCTTACTCAAAATGTATATATTTCACTATTGGATAGTAGCTGCACCTAGACCAACACATGCCAAGAATTCATATGTAGTGGTCAGCTCATTTAAACCGTAACATTGCTTATTAATATATGCAAGTTATCTTCCTAAACATAATTCAATTTCCAAGTGCTATCTCAACACTCCTAATGGAGGACATTGATTGACTTAACTCAACACAGCGTGAGACTTAGATGATGGGTTTCCTGCTGACCACCTCCAACGATCAACCTACATCTCAACATAGTCCAAGGGATGTCTACTCATCCGGACTAGTAGCCATATTGCAACTTGATCGACAGAATACGTTTTGAGGGATCAGACAGATTTTTTGAGTTTGTACATTACACTTCAAAGTACAAATAATCTTAACTTTCACAACATTACTTGGTCACTTGAGATAATGTAGTTAGAATCAGGACAAACTTCAAGTTGTTAGTTTTCCACCGAGTTATGACTGAAGATTAATACAAAACAGATATCAGGAGACGGCATTACAATTAGTTACTTCCTGTAAGTCAGTCAGCTACAACATATGACCAGGCATATTTATGCATCGGTCCAAGTTGCCATATCTAATTAGCACAACAAGATGAACACCGAATTCATAGAAGTAGTTAATTCGCTGGTGGTAATATATAAGAGAAAGATTGCATATAAGGACATAGTACAGGAAGAAAGAATTAGTTCATAAAAAGAAAGAAATTAATTAATTTTGATCACACAGTTTAAAAACAAAAAGTGTATACACTGACGCCACTGTGATCGACTGTGCCATAACACCCAGTCTCCAACCATTGTCAACCATAATCACGCGGACCCCAAACAAGTCGTCTGCATCTACCAACATACCTCAGAGCAGAAGTTAGTGACTTCAAAGACTGATACCACGTTTTATATTGGCTGCCACTAACTTTCTCCCAATCATCCCCAACACCGGTTAGCATTGCACGTCGTGGTAATCAGTGTTCAGGCATACGTAACACGGTCCGACTATCTCAGTTGATGAAGATTCACAGCCTAATCAACTGATTTACCATCATTCCCTGATGCCCTGTGTCTAACATCACTTTTACTTACCCGGTGATCCCAGCAGATGCGAGCAACATTTCTAAGGCATCTGTGGTCAAATACTAGTAGCTTACTAGTATCTTCTACTCTTAATCTTCACGTTTCGCATCTGTAAAGTTGAAAAGAGTGAACTGCCGCGCAGTATACTCGTCTCTTAATTGATAGATGAGTATCTCCCCTTCGCCATAGGTGACGTAAGTTGGCAAAAGCCAAACGAGCTTTCTGAATCCGTGAAGAGATTTCGTCAGACACCAACTCATTAGGGATGATCACACTTCCAAAATAAGTGAAGTTGTCAACGCGTTCGACTACTTCACTCCCTATCCTTAATTCAGGTGTTGACCAAGGCCAGTCCTGGAGCAACAACTTGCTTTTAGAGGGGGAGAAACGCATTCCAAACATTCTGGCATTGTTGCTCAGTGCTACCAAAAGACACTGCGTTTTATCAGATTCTTCACCAAACAGGACTTTCTCATCTGAGTATTCTAAGTGGACCACCTAGTAGGAGATCAATGCCCGAAAATTCAGTCGACGAGAACGTTATTTACAGCAGTGGGTCCATGGTGAGGTTGAACAAAAATGGAGCTAGTCGGCAGACATGTTGGACACCACTCGAGGTTGACTGTTCAAAAACCTAATGAATGGAGAATATGTGGTTGATGCAGCCACCACTAGGTCTAAATTCAGCCTGATTTTCTAGTGTTTGCAGTTCACGAATATTAGTCAGGCGCCCGATAATTTGTATTTTAGATGCTACATTAGTCAAACTAATCCCTCTATGGTTGTCACAAGATGATTTTGACCCCTTCTTATATATTGGGACGATCAATGATTGCGACCAGTCAGATGGGATTACTCCCAACTCCTAATATTAGTCAACCTGATCGCAAAAACTAGACCACCATCCATTAAGACCTCTGGAGCCAATCCATCTGTTTAACCTATATCTCGTTTGCTTTCGCTCTTCGTGTTCAGAGCCTGATGGAATGAGTCTTCGAGAACCCATCAGTACTGTAGACTCGAAAGAAATTTAATGGTTTTCTGTAACCCTTTGGTTTAAATCACTGATATACGTCACTGCTGTTTGTATCTTTCCAAGCAACATCTGGATCAGTTTCGTTTTCAGAACTACTTAAGTGTGACCTCCGTTGTCCCTGGAATCTACTTTTGGCTTTCTCGTCACTCAGTTCAATTCTAATGGGACTTCTTTGTGGTTTTTTCTGCGTCCAGTGAGGAGCAAGCAGATGCGTGCTCGTACTAGAGAATGATCGGAGTTCAAACAGGTATTCCGGAACGAGCGCGTCCTCCATCGAGCCTCTCCAACAATCACTGATGGCAATATAGTCTATTCGATTCCATCATTGGTTTGGTGCAGTGGGTCGCCATGTCAGATGATGTCTCCCCTTATGCTTAAAATTAGTGCTTGCTAAATATAAACGACTATCTGGGCACAGTTGCAGCAGACGATCACTATCATTTGTTTGATGAGCCGGGATACTTAAATACCCACCTAAATGTCTTTCTGCTTGGTTTGACCTACCTACTTGGGTATTAAAGTCACCTGCTACGATTACTATGCCTGAGCGCTTAGATTTATGAAGTTCTGAGAGCTTTCTGTAAAAGTCATCTTTCACTTCATCCGGGCTGCAGTCAGTGGGAGCGTAGGCAGAAACGACAAAAAGGCAACGACGTGTGTCCCTATCCTTCTGAGTTCTTACGGGGCCGTTTAGCCAAACAGCACATAGACGACTGTTAGCAGGGACCCACTTCAAGAGTGATTGTTCGGCCCTCGTACTTCGTGCTATGCTTACACCTGCCAGTCCACGAGAACTAGCCATCGAGTTGCCAGATACACGGGTGTATTTCGTCGGCTCTCCGTTTTGGCGGGGTGAGGTCAAGTGAGTGACCACACTAGGATCCTGTATGCGTGTTTCGGAGACAGCATACACCAGCCGAATGAGATTCCAAGGTTTTAGTCAAGGAGGCCTGTTGGTTGATTTGGCACAGGTGCGCACGTGGGAGGCCCCATTGTGTAGTTTGGAGCGAGGTTTCAGTAGACCTTGGACAGTTTTTCGTGCACTAGAATCATTGCTTATGATGACGCTGTCCTTGAAAGAGGAATAATAGGGATTGAAGAATACAGTGATCTTGAGTGTTGTTAGAGGTATGAGAGCGGTTATCACTTCCCCGTGTCCCACATCGTGGAAAGGTACTTCTAGAGGTACCTGAAAATTAAATTAGATTAGAGTTAATCTTAGTGACCTGAGGACGTAACCGCAGTGCCCAAGGGATAACTGCTTGAGGTCGGTCACACATGAACTTTTGTGGGTAATTTTTGTTAGCTCCGCACTTTGTTGAGACCCTATAGCCGTTGACGGATATCCGTGAGACAAGGTGGTGTGCATTGTTAGGGTCGACGTTTTCTAACCCTACCCCTCCTTGTGGAAAGACAGCATCGCTGTTAAGCTGGTTGTCTGAAAGGAAACACCTTACTACCGCCACACCTCTGTACAGCCAGCAGTACAACTCCGCCTTCGGACCTTGTGTTTGCTACTTTTAGTTTTACCGCTCTTCAACCGACCTGTCTGACATGGTAGGACCTTGAGGAACGGTTGTTCCAGCCAGTATAGTTCGATTGGTTCATCGCGATAGGTAAGCCCGATCACCACGTCAAGGTAGTAGCAACAATGGTTATAACTTTCTACTTGATCCAATATCACCTAATATATTAAGCAGGTCTGGATTAGTTTATTGATACAATTCTTTAAATGCCAAGAGGTTTGTGATTGCATGAAGTTTTCCAAGTTGTTTAGTGCATTTTATATGCATAAAGACTCTGTCGAGCTTCAGTTTTTTCCCATAAAATTTTGTTGATTTCAGTGAAGACAAGTAGACAAAATTTTTATTTTACAGTAACATAAGATAACAAAAGGGATTTATGTAAGCATATATGGAAAAACATATATTAGCGGGCCTATCACATTTACCTGTTAACAGGTTCTAATAATAATAATGATAATAAAATCAAGAGACTGTCAAATCTATACACAGTTTGGTGGGAAACTTCATCAGTTTTCAGGTCGTGAGTTATATTTGTCTGTAATCTCTTCATGTGAATTCAGTAGTGGGTGGGATTTCATGTCGATTGGATTAATACCACTCAGGAACACGTCTTGGGTGACTGAAGAACTTGAAGTACAAATAGGTACTGAACAAACATCTTGAGATGCAACACAAACTATAAGATTCTCCTGCAATACAGAACCGGAAGTGCTATACGCCAAATCATCAGTATCATCCAAAGGGACTTCAACTCCTTCCTCAATTATCTGCTCAGTAACAATGCTATCAGGATCCAAAGAGTCTGTAAAATTAATCGTAGGAACAATGTGTTCATTGACAGAATCATCATCCGTTTTTAAAACAGCTGAATTTTCATTGTAACTACTGCATCCATTCAGACTCTGACTTACAGAAAAACGGTTTATGACACACTCTGACTGCTCTGAGTTTTCACTAATATGGTAGTAGATGGAAGGACATACTGGATTATTTAAATGTACACTGTTACACTCACCATAACCAGGTCTGAGTGTATGAACCTGGAAAAATAAAAGGAATTTAACTTAAATGTGCTGATTAAAAGAAAAATAAATACTGTTAAAATTGTATAAAATATGAAGACATTTCATGGGATGATAGCATACAATGTGTGAACCTTTGAAATATATGACCGTAAAACACAAAAAATTGATATATTCAACAATACAGAAACCTTAGATGCGTTGGTTACGATGTAAAGCTTTAATCCTTATTACCGAATCCACTACAAAGCCCGACATCAATGCAACGAGTTTTTTATGTGGACCCAACTCCAACCATGACTCTTGTTACTAATTTAAAGGTTGCAGCCAAACTAACATCACGGTGCCACAAATGGCTCAAATAGGCACAAACTGCTGTGACTTCTACTATACGTGAATTGATCTCATCAATCACGCCACCGCTAGCACTTTCACAGCTACCTAGACACACGAACTTTCGGACTACTTCTATCTGCTTACTACCAAGAATGAGTACAGGTTCAAACTGCCTGAGCTGTTTGTATATAGGGCTTTAAAAATGTTAATAAACTTCTCAGGTACACCCTTCTTTGGTAGACAATCCCAGAGAATAGTCATGTCCAACGAATATGAGGGTGGCCCTAATGTCAAGAAACACAATGAGTTTTGACCTGTAATAAGTATGACGGTGTTCTAACATATGGCGAGGGGTGAAGACATAATCCTCGACCATAACGAAAACCAGCCTGCTCCTCTAGAATTAAACTTTCTCGGGTTTTAAACAATCTACGAAGTACGACGGAAGTCAATAATTTAGACGCAATCGGAAGTAGACTTTTATCCCCCGGTAGTTGTTGCTTTGGTGACGTAAACCCATTTCAAAGATAAAAACTAGTGACTGATCCCCAAATGTTAGAATACGCCCTGATTACCAGACATTTGCGAAGAATTGTTTAATAAATAGAAGGTCCTCATAATCACTAAAAAGGGCCGGAAGTAAGTCATCTGGGATTGGTGATATTTGACGCTTCAGGGGTTGGAGTTCCTTGTGGAATTTCACCTCATTAGGTGCATCAGTCGTCACCGACCAAGGGGGGGAGGACAGTATGATCAATGATGCAGGAGCAGCAGACCATTTTAATCGTTGCTCGAAAAACTGTGTCCATCGTCCAAGAAATCGATAGATGTTATTGATTGGTACTCAGTCAGCTTTACTCACTTCTTGCTACCAGTGTCTCAGATGAGATGAAAAAGCTTCCGGCAGTTACAAAATGCAGCTGCCATTAACAATTCATTAGCACGCTCCGACAACCAGGCTTGTAGTTCCTTTGCACAATTTCACAACGTAAGTTTCTGTTCATGGGCAAACTAGAGGCTAGCCGGAGTAGCCCGATGTGCTTCGATGAGTTGTAACGAATATGTAGAAACCCAGAGCTTATAAGTGAGACGTCGCGCGAAGCCGCAAGCGACTTTACTGTTCACTTTCATGGAGTCATGCAATTGCAGCCAGCGCCCATCTATACTTTTCAATCTGTTGATAGTTAGCCTCAGTTTGATATTTACTTGCAAAAGAGGCTGCAGCCGACGAATTTATTGGACGCTGAAATGTAAGATTGACGTAAACAATGGTATAACCAGAGTCCAGATAAATACTCCGAGAGGAGCGGGAGTCTTGTACACAACCACGCTAGAGCTAGTTGACCGCTATGTGATAAGTGTGAATCCAGGCTTGAGATAGAGAGAGGATGCTAGGTGGGACAACGGCGATGACTGTGCCGATGGTTCATACAAGCCAGAAACATGTTTTAGTCTGCGTAAAGTTACAGTAGGTGGTCACCGTTATTTGACCTGAGACCCACGAGTCCCCGTTGGCCACTCAAACGACTCCTCAGTGCCTATACGACCGGTTTGTGCATTCGAATCCCCGGTTAGTACTACAATATCTGTCGAACACACTTTCTACAGAACACTTAATCAGTGGTAGAACTCATCCTTGGTTGTATCCGGGATGCAGTCTGTCAGAGCGTAGGTAGAGATGACAAAAAGACATCGTTCTTCAAACCGATTTCTTCTTACTTTGATGGAGCTTTTTACTCTAACAGCACACAATCGACTGTTACTGAGGATCCAATCGATTAATACTGCCTCAGATCTAACGCTTAGTGCGACACCAGTGCCAACAAAACCAAACGACAATGTCACAGTCGGAATACATATTGATTAAAAGTTTGTGGTGCCATAATCACTTAGAAAGGATTGTTATATCAAAGAAAACAAAGGCATCAGCGACTAATATTGGTAGACAAGCAAGTATACAGGTCCCATATGATAGTTACATTTCACAAGAGTACGATTGAACGCAATTAATTTTGTGGGGATAACGACTACAGGATTATAACGAGTAAATCAGCTTAACGAAGGGTTTGTGATCAAGTTTCAACAGTTATTTGATGAATGAAAATTTATTCGACCACACTCCTAAAATGATATCCTTCGACGTTTTTGTTTTGCATGATCTGAATCAAATACCTTAACCGTTTAACCAAACACAGTAGTATTAGATAATAGCGAAAATAATTAACTCCCAAGACTACCGTTTTACGCCTACCCATTTTTTGCACATGACTCTTAATAACCATTCTCTTCGGTATGACAGTGTAATATTTTAAGCTGATAAAACAGTGCGTTGAGTCAGTATCAACACGTGATCAAATAGTTCATAGTTAAATGTATTCTTTATATTAGGTATGGAATCTTGTTGGTTAACCTAGCGTGAAGCGATGGCTCAATGATTAAAGTACTCGACTTCTACTGACTAAGTTGTCAGAAGCCAGCTCCAGCTACTTAAGCTTTTGAGAACCAGGTAATGCAACTAACTCTTACATTTAAAATGTGGCTCAAAAGACAAATATAAAAACCTGAAATAATGAGTAAAAATGATCCAGTAAGTCATGGACTTGAATCTTATTTTTAACACCACACCTCGATCACCGATCCCTAAGAACATTGAGGACGTATATTAAACTGAAAAAATGTCATCTTGAAATGAACAGTAATGCTCCTTACGGTGTACATATATGTTGCGCATTGTATTGCCTAGCAGATGAACTGAAAACGTAAGTAAAACTCTACTCCTCTATTGTGGATACAGGTTCAACTGTGTTTATCTTGATTGTTAGAAGAATGAGGGTGGTTATCACTGCCCCGTTGCCCACATCGTGAAAGGATTTTTCTAGAGCTACCTGAAAAGAAAATTAGGTTAGAGATCTTATTGACCTGAGAGCGTGACCGCAGTGCCCAAGAGGCAACTGCTTGGGGTCATACACGAACTTTTGTGGGTGATTTTTGTGTTAGCTCCTACTTGTTCGAACCTTACCGCAGGAGACAAATATCCACGGAATAAGGCGAGCTGTATAGTTTAAGGTCGATCTCTTCCAACCTCACCCTCCCTTTGTGAGAAGGCGAAATCGTCGTTATGCTGGTTATCTGAGGGAAACACCTTACTGTCGCCCTATTGGTTCGTCACGATAGGCAAGCCCAACCACAACGTCAAGGTAGCAGCAGTGGTCGGGCTCAGTTGTGCATAGATTCTGGAGATTATAATAAACAACAAATATTCTTGGGATGCAGTTTTTAAATATTAAAACCCCTAAATTGTACAAGGAAACTCCGACTAAATACGGGATAGTAAAACTGACCTTTCGAATACATAAATGTGAACAGAAAAAAGAGGACTATTTCTATAAGATAGGCTTGACAACAAGATCAAAATCAGAACCCCAAATAGTCAAATGCTAGCAGGAAGATGAAGAGTTGATGAGTCTGCATAACCACCATTGACTTTGAAAGGCTTTTCACACTTTGAACTTCCAATATTAAATTTAGTAATACGGCAATAGTATCTGAATGTTTTAAAAATAATGGTTAAGCATGTGAAGAGTACTGAAAGATTATTGTTATTATCCAGTTGATAATATCGACTTTTAACTTGTGGTACATAGTCTCACAGTCAATAGGAAAGGATAAAAATATGCAGAGAAAGAAAACCGGTGACGAAATGCTCAGAAACCAAAACTCCATCTTTTTTTACAAAAAATATCATAATTAGAATGACAAACATGTTAGCGTCCTTAAGAAATGTCACTATGAAAGATGACACTAGCTTAGTATACCAACGAAAGTGGATTTTATGAACAAGACTTAAAACCAACATAACTATAAAGACACTATGTTCTATCCCAGAAACAGGAACACACATTTTATTTATCTCAAGACCTCACGATTGGCACTCCGTGATAAAATGGACAGGAATATTAGGAACAAATAGCACTTACTTTGTGTAACTGGAACCAAGCACGACAGCTAGCAACGCGAGCCCACACTAGTAGGCTATCAGTAGATATCCCAGGCTTTAGTTGTTGACCAAATGCCAGAACGACTTCGAAATGAGGACGTGACTGTTGATTTTGACGATAAGAGTCCAGGTGAAACAAAAACTGATCATAGTCGAATATTTTCTCCCTTAACCGACGTCCAAGCTTCTTTGCCAAAATATATTCTCCACCCACCGTTGGAATATACACAAAAACGGCACACTTGCATATTCTTTCAGCGTAAATACTACCATGGATAACTGTCAGTATGATTCCCCTGACCATATTATCCAACAAGAGATCAACATAGGCCTTGTTGGCTACTGAGATTTGGTGTGGAATTTGTGCTTCAATAGGATCAGGAGCAGCAGGTGAGCTGATCTGTAAGATACATTAGTCAAGAAAACGGTAAATACCTCATCAAATCTCCCATAGTAAATACAACAACCATTAGGATTGGTAACTATTGTGTCTCTAATGCGGACACTTAGATGTTGGATGCGCACACCTAACTGATGGTATTCCGGTTCCATAATGTCAGGTAACAACTGAACATGTTGATTTGCTGAACCAATCCCAGGGACAAAACGGTTAGGAAGAGATATGCCCCCAGTTATGACTGTAGTGTTGTTTGGAGCTTGATACTCAGTGTAACTTGATGGGGACAAGTTAGCATAACTATCTAAGTTCATGTTCTCGTTATCGCATCCCAGTCTTTGAGTGGCATTAGCGCTAGTAGAATTGTAATAAATCTTGTTACGGTTAAGCTGGTGACCTTGTAGTATATAAGCAGGGCGATAATTGGACTGGATGTGTTGAACACCATCACCTCTTCGGATCTGAAATGATATAAGTGATAAATTACTCAATTACATCGACTGGAAATGTTTAAAAGAAATTTTGTAGATTACTCTTTTCAGTCATTGTGCACTTTAACCAAAAGATAAAGCACTTTTGAAGGAACAAAAATGTTTGAAGAAACTTCTAAAAATTTGGGGACAGGTGTCGACGTCAGCCATTATAGTTGCGAATATTTTACATAAAGCACGTACAAAAAATGTGTAGCCTCATGAGGGTGAGTCACTTCGAATCTGTTTCTGCGCAGCAAAATTGAAAATGGTTTACCTTTATCTGAATCATCACTGAATTATCGAATGGCGTCTACGCAGAATTGCAGTAAGACAACTATCTTCAGTTTGTGAGGTACGACCTCCAGTTGAGAATGTTTGGTAGCTACCTACGTCCGAGTCACTGACTCAAAAAGATTCGAATAATCTAACCTGGCAGCCCAATGACAGCACACAGCCATTCAAAGATGTGGGTTTTAGACCACTTCTCAACGAAATACCAAGCAGGGTCGGTGTGAGTACAAGTACCCGGCAGTCTGGCCGAAATGCCATGATTTCTCAACAAACGATGAGGTCTCGGAACTCTAAGTTTAATGTCCAGATCTTCATAACTGCCTATATCGAACACTAAATACTGATGTTAAAACTACAACAGTAAAGGCTATTAATTTATAAAAAGGAGCTATAGACTATAACTTTCGCAGTAATACATGTTTATGAACAGAGTTATAAAAGACAGAAAACAATGAAGGATTTAACATTTATGAATTGGTTGGAGACCCCTAGTCGGAGGCTCATGTCCAACGAGGGGTAACAAGCGTAACAACAAAAGAAAACAAGACAAACTTAGTGTACAAATATTAGACTCAGAATTATCATATAAACCAGACCGTCAACAGTCAGCTACTCTAATCACAGATCAAAATTATTTGAAATACATAAGCAAGTACATAAAACATCAACGCCCTAAAAATCGAACTTATTTACCCCAGAAACTAATTAAGATAAATGATGTAGACAAATTTACAGATCCCGATTTTACTTATGCAAGTGGAAAATAAATGAAGTCATATAAGATTTAAATGCAACGCAATTGGTTAAAATGAAGTAAGCAACATCATACATACCACAGCAAACCGACGGGTATTCGATTTGAGCCCTGACAACTTCTGGACAATCAGCGTAGGTCGTCTTGAAAGCGGAATTGGAGAATTCATTGGAGAGCTAGAAGCGTTCGTTCCACTCCACGAAGTGAATCTACATCCTGCCTGTATACCATCGAAGATCATGCTAGCATTTCTTATCGCATTCGCTCGCCATAGAGATTCTGTTTTGCTCACAAAGCGATACACTTTAAAAGGTTCTTCACAGTGTAAGTTGTGACGTTGCTTGACCTCTTGGATATCAGGCGCTTTGTTCAGTGCACAACGAAGCCGAGTTTTCCACATCGGCCAGTCAGGTGTATCGATGCCCTCCCGATAACGCCCAGTAACAACAGCCCAGTCCTGAAAAATAAGGATATTTGTCTAGTAATGTACCTTAAATATAGCAGCATCATCTTCCGTCCATGTATGTTTACTATGATGCTTCCAGGGGATCCTGAATATTCCCTTTTCTCTATCGATCCACTTTAGTCCTTCGATCCACCCGTCGTTAAGACGACTTTCTAACCAAGGCCGAAGCCTGACACGAATATCCATACACTAAGAAAAATCTAAAAGAAGAAATATTGCGTTATTTAGATTGTATACGTTGAACAAAAACACGGCAATATAACTACCATATCTATTATTTCATGAAGAAATGCAGTAATCATGCAGTTCGCCACAAATTCTGCAGGAAGACAAACGGAAAGTGAAAAAGAAAACGAAGATGAAACCGAAGCCACTACCGTTAAATCTTTTGGCGCGCTGCTAGGCCATTCAATTATTCGCTTCAATTTCAACTTCTGGTACAAATAGTAAACTATTTGTTCCTCGGGATATGCGTGTAGCGGTAAATAAATCCCCAAAATAAATATCTCTGTAAGTTTTCAACATTGGATGCTGACCATATGTTTTAGTGGACTCATCTAGCTGAAGGCGCTCGGTCATGCATCCGCACCAGAACATGTGTGGTAACGCTGTGCTCAACATCTACCGCAATCGCTAGCCAGATAAGATCAGAGAATTCCGATATATTGGTTATCGCCAAATACACTCTTCCGATCTCCTCGACTCTGTCTTTTGATTTCTCTTGGTGGGTACGAATTATATTAGGTATTTCTGGTAAAGGCGTTGTCAAACACTGAATACCTGTGCCATCTTCATGCGTGTCGATAGCCTTACACAAAGGGATCTCAATCAATCTACCGTCATCCAACACAATGGCAATCTTAGATGTTTTTATGCTCCTTTTTCATTTAACTGATATCTAGACGATGAATTCAATCACACATTTCATTTCTTTTTGACTCATTGATTTTTGCAGCGCCATGCATTTTAGAAGGGAAGTGGTATGTTTCCTAGCCGAGTGAGCCTTTTAATTTCGACTGTATCCCAATGGGTTAAGGCTTATTTTATATTTATTTAGGCTGGATTTTCAGTTATAGTAACATATAAGTTTCAGCCTTTTGTGTTCAGTGTTTATAACATTAAGAGCTCTAAAAAAACGCTTTTTGTAAGTTAGTTTCTTCGCATTTCTCACATTCTAGGAGGCGTTTTGTGTTTTTCTCTCTGTGAGCTCACTTTACAACGTCAATGAAGCAAACAAAACATCGTTGTGGTATACCAACGCAGTGTGACAATCGCTACAGGTGATATCTTGTGTTCGCCTAACTCACACCGGCTGTATATAGAACGATTTTCAAGCCATTATCACATTGGCTGTGCAAGGCGTACGGCCCTACAAAGTCTCTGCTAATTCTTGAGGCGACTGTAGTCCTAGACACAGCTAGGAAGATGCTCTCAGACAAACGGTTGGTAGCAGATGAGCTGTCAGATTTTGGGGATGTAGTGAGCGTTATCACTAGTCCAGCTTTAGGTTTGAATGACACCATCAGCGTGAGTCCCTATGATTTAATGGATAACAGATAAACAGATTTAGTCATAGTTACAGAAAAAAAGCACGCTAAAAAGGAACAAATTACAGGAAGCTCTAAAATATGTGAGTTGATGGGTTCAGCAGCAGATTCCGCTATGGATGAGCGATATAGAATATGTGATCAAGAAACAAGATAAGGTCAACAATTGGCTAACAGTAGTGTCTAGAAAATTAAGTAAACAGTGAGACCTTATAGCAGCAAATAAATCCTGTGGCATCTTCAAGCTGGACGTCTGATGCGAAATTGAACTGCAAGGATAAGATTTTAGGCAACAAAACCTCACCGTTTTTCAAAATGGATATCGTTGAAAAGTCAGTCATTTCTCACGAGTTGAGAGTCTTCCGAAGAGGAACCAAAGGCTAGATTGAACAACACCTAAATCGTATTTAGTTCTCAATAAGCAAGATACTTTCAGAAACAGTAGCAGGATTTGGTATCCATAAGCTTTATAGAATAGAATAAAAAGTGGATCCTGTAAGTACGCAGGTAAGCCGCCTCATAAAAGTCACTTTTTCTTGTGCAAATGAAGGAAACCTAAAACTGGAAAATTCATGCAAACTTTCTGGATCCGGATTATCAGCAGTACGGATCTCAGTCTGGTTGATCGCATTATGAGACGAACGGTAGAGGTTGAAGTAAATGAATGCCGCCATGACGGTGAAAATAACATTGCACTTCACAGTTTTCATGTTTTAAATATCAGTAGCACAGCGGTTCTCAAAGTAATCTCGGCTTCAGGAAAAATATATCCACAGAATTAAAGGTATGGTACACAAATCCGTAATTCATACGACGGACCACACAGCAAAGTGGTGCATGGACGGCGACCGATAGATGCATTCAAAGTGAGGACCGGAGTCAGACAAGTCTGCTTACTCTACCTACTTCTCTTCCTTCTAATAGTTGACTGGGTTATGAGAACCTCAACATCTGAGGGAAAGCATTAAATACAATGGGCTGCTTTCATGCACCTAAGCGATTTGGACTTCGCAAATGACCTACATCCTCTATCACACACACACACCAACAAATGCAGGTGAAGATAACCAGTGTAGCAGCTGTCTCTGTATCAACAGGACTCAACATACACAAGTGAAAAACCAAGATACTCAAATACAACACACAGAACACCAACAAAACCAATCACACTTGATGGAGAAACTCGAGAACAGGTGGAAACTTCCACCTACCTGGACAGTATCGTCGATGAACAAGGAGGATCCGATCACACGTAAAGGCAAGGATTGGTAAACACAACAACAGGACTCCTACAGTCGAAGAACAAATGGGACTCAAAACAACTGTCAACCAATATCAAAGTCAGAATCTTCATTACGAACGTCAACACAGTCCTACTGTACGGAGCTGAAACTTGGACAACTACTACAACTATCGTCAAGAATGTACAAGTATTTATAAATACTTGTCTACTGAAGATGCTCAATGTTCGTTGGCCGGACTCCATCATCAACGGTCTATTGTGGGAGAGAACAAACCAGCTTCCAGCTGGAAAGGAAATTAGGAAAAGATGTTGGAGGTGGACAGGACACACATTGAGTAGATCGTTAAACTGCATCACGAGGCAAACGTTGACTTGGAATGTTGAAGGTAAACGGGAAGGAGGAAGACTAGGGAACACACTGCGTTGGGAATTGGAGTTAGACATGAAAATGATGAATAGCAGCTGGGAAGGATATTCCAGGACAGAGTTAGATGTAGAATGCCTGTGAGTGGCCTATGCTTCTCTCCAATTGACAGCGGGCGTAAGTAAGCATATAAATACTCTCAACTACTGAATAAATCATGAGCCCAAAAACGTAGTGGACTTAAAAATAACCTGGTGTCAGGGCCATTTAAGAAACATGATTGGCTTCATAAGTGTACGACAGCGAGGTTCGTTTGGTTGGTTTCTTCTTTTGTAGGACGAACAGACTTAGCCACAATAGTGACGAGGCTATTCTGTACATGAAAAGCACTTTATCCGTACGAGTTTTTGAGACAGCAGCACACCGCTCAAGAGCCTACGAACTGGTGAGCTGCCGGCCGAAATGTATAGAGCAAAACATTCATTTGTTGCAGTTTACCGCATTTCATAATGTGTAGTGGATGATTTCCTCCTAAATAAACTTAAACTGTCGTCAAACAGGCGTTAAAGCCTTATAGTAGGTGACTTTAATACACCCTTTATAAATTAGGGAAACTCGGAAGTAGGAACGCTGAAAAAATCGTTTGACTACAAATTTTTAAAAACTTCAGTTGCTCTAGCTTAATTCTAGCACATTAGAGATCCCACAAGATATGATCTACGAAACTCGTCTCCCTTAAACTTAGTCTTCACACATGACGATAGTGGCAATCAAGGAACTTTTCTTCCCATATGTCGGGAGATCATACACTCATCTTATTCAAGTCCATAGCTGATATGGTCTGTCAAGCAGATGCATCGGCCCCCTAACTAGCATATGAAAGGCAGACATGAAGGCGACCAATTATGAAGCGTCTGTTGAAAACTGGAATGTTGAGTCATGCGCACCAGTGGAAAAATCATGGAATCATTTCCGGTAGTAGTACAACCGAGTAATTCGACTGACTTACACTCTGGACGGTCCAAAAGAAGAGGCACGGCCATCTCTGGATAGACTGGGGTATTATACGTCGACTAAGACAAAAGAAGGAATGTTGGAACGTCGCCGCCAGTCTTAGGACAGCAAATACGATGGAACACTACAGATTGGTATGAAATAAGTATATAAGTACGATCCAGGCAGCTCAATAAAAATATAAAAAGTAGTTAGCCCAATCTGTAATTAAGCAGCCGAAGAGACTGCCCTCGTGCGTACGTTATAGAACAAGAACATATGATTGAATTCCCAACCTATAGACGAGGGTGAACCTCACATGACAGAGGATGATCAGGAAAATGCAGAGGTCATGGCAAACATTTCGGGGTAGTTTTCACTCAAGAACCTCTTCTAGACGAAGAACTAGACCAAAATACAGCTCCACGAAAGCAGCTGCATTCTGTGGTCTTTGATCTAGACAACCTACTAGACCATGGTCTTAAAACCGCGGCTTTCTTGCTAGGTCGCAACTAAGGGGTTCAGAACCTAACGAGGTTTAAGACAGACATTTATTAGGTTAGATATTAACATGTTCACCACAGTATACACGAATTTAGCAAAATTCCAGCCTGAAGACCAAATTCAGGCTTCAACCCCCTGTTTAAAAGATTGCTCGGATATCTTGTAATAGGTATAGAGGGCAGCCATCTATGCAATTCCAGATCTCCAGTGGTTACAATACAAAGAGCGATTTCAGAAGTTGGACCACTTTACTCTGTCTTACTGCAGATTAAGAGTTGATCTGATTTTGATGTATAGGATACTAAGAAATGATTTTGGAACCATTATATTCTATATTTGTCATCCTGCCAGATCGGTAAAACTGCAGGACATAGCAGACAAGTAGAAAAACCATGGAATCCGTGGAATACAGTCTGAATTGACACAGGCCGTAGGCCTCCTGCCCTCAATACACAAATTTGGATCCGAACTCTCGGATTCATGCAGAGCCTAAGTAAGGGTTGCAGTAACAAAAATTATAAAAGGCAAAACTGCCAAGGATTGCATAAGAGCGAAATCACATCTTTTCATTGACGCATCATAAGTGCGTTACAGTGCGATGGCTTGCACCAAAGTTGATTGTAGAAGTCAACCTTCACATGGGGTGTTTTTTATAACAAATCTTGAGCAGAGCCTATCAAACATGCACCACTCATAGTCTGAAACTAGCTTCTGTAATCATAAGTCTCAGGACAAGTAATTC